CCTGCCTCGCCCTGCCCGGGCTTTGGCGGAATAGGGGACTCTGATGCTCTGGGTTCCAGGAGCGCAGGCAGGAAAGATGAACCACCCGTCTGCCACGTCTCTTTGGGCGAGACGGCCCGGGGCAGCAGGAGTGTTTTGAGATGGAATCTCTCGCAGCCTGCCCGCGAGCGGCGGAAACAGTAAAAAGATCCCAGGACCTTCTGGAGGTCCCTGCCCGCGGCCCCCTTCTGGGATAGGATTTTTTTTTTTTTTTAACCCGCCGGACTTGATTTTCTTCCGCGAGGACCAGATCTCCTACGATCCAGGTCGCGGCTGGAAGAGTTCAGGTTTGGGCATCAGATGTGTTTGACAGCCCTATCCAGTGTGGCTTTGTGCAAGTTACACAACCGACCACCGCCACTTGTTACCCCACCCTAGTTTCCTATTCTGTAAAATGGAGCTTTAGTGCCTCCTTGTAGGGTTCTTGCGAAAATTAAATGTGAACTGCCCAGTACAGAAGCCATCGGATATTAATTGTCTTCCTCCTGGAGGGGCGAAGGCCTGCTTCCTTCTGCTTTCAGAACCCAAATCTTTAGTAAAATATTTCCACTCTATTTATGCAGTGGATTTTGTTTGTAGAAACTAATCTGAATGTCAAACATTAAAAGAACAAGGTTCTAAGTGAGAAACAAAAATTATAACATTCTAGGCAGAATAAGTGAGGGTAGAACAACCTGGAAATTGTATGAGTCCAAAGTAAGGACTCTAATTTTAAAATTTATGATACAATCACTTGATCCCCAGAAAAGGTCTCAACGTTAAAACCAAGTCCTAGCTGTCATGTTTTGGGCAGCTTTATCTGGATATGCTTGTTTCCCTGGGACTTAATTCAGCTCTTCCTACTGAAATAGTTCAACCATTACATCACGGGATAAATGTGAAAAAAAAGGTCAGTTTTCTCAAAAGAGCCCTGAATGGCACTCTAGGCACATGACAAGCTATGTTGGTAATCTTGCCCAAACATTAACTTACCAGGAATGAACCACTGAAATACCCCTAGGCATTTTACTTCAGATTCAGAGGAAGGCTGTGGTAGCATGCATTAATCACTCACAGGTGTATGTGTGTACACTTGGTCAGACTGAGCACAGTATGCTGGGAGGGGATGATCAAAGTTCAGACCACATGTGGGCCTTGGGTCTGTACTGTGACTCTGAACTAGACCATTTCTTATTCCTGGCAGTCTTACAAAGCATACCATTGGTTATGATTGAGGACTGGGCAGGAAAGTCCTACCCTCAGTGCAAATCTTTCACAACTATACTAAAAATAACTCAAGTGCATGTCCCTGGAACCATGGAATAGTGTCATTGCATACCAATGATGTTGTATAATATGTGTTTTATAGTTCACAATAAAGTTTTACCATTCTGGGCCAGCAGTAATTAGAAATACTCTTCTAAATATAATTAAGGGGTTGCATATTTATAGCAAGAGGAAATCAAGCTTTGGGTAACAATATACCACTTACTGAGTGGCACAGGAACAGAATTTTGTAAAAGTTGAAACAAGAAATTAATCTGGTTTATTCAGGCATTAGAAAATAGGTAGGAGATACTCTCTCAGTTTGTCAGATAAAGAGCACCTGCAAAATGTCCTAGTAGCCACTGCTCTATTGTTCCCTGTTTTTCTCCCAGTTTGTTGATATCTTCCAATCCTGAAAGTTACCACCCTTGCTGAATAACTGTTTGGCCCTTCTGTGACCTCTCAAATCAGATACTTAAACTCATTTCTTTTTGCCTAACACAGTCATTGTTGTTATTTAAACATTTTGGCACCAACAATGGTTGAGATTCCATAAATTACAAAAACAATTATAGCATCTGGTCTTCCAGAAGTCTCCATCTCTAAAGTAGGTCAATTACTTACTATAAATCATGTTAAATTCAAAGAACTTCTGGAGTTCAGTTTAGAGAATAAGAATTAAAAATGAGAATATGCCAGTACCCCATATCATCCACTTTCAAAAACAAATGAAAAGTTCGTACTCATTAACATCTGGGAATTGTGTATAATCGAAAGTTTAATTATATCTTAAACTTATAAGTTACCATAAGTTCTGTTTTTATTGTTCAATAGCTGATTCTCACAAAACCAATTGAATGTTCATCAGACATCAGTAGATGTTTTAGAGAAATTACTTTGGCCCTCGTTGTTGGGAGTTTAAATTAAATGACTTCACGAAATCCACTTTATTCTCAATGAATTACAGTATGTCCCCAAACATCTGACAAAGTCTTCCAGAGTCAGAAGGGAGAAAACATGTCACCTATTTAAGAAGCAGACCTCTTCTGAAGTTTCATTCATTTTATATAGAAGCAAGAGAGAAGAAAGAAAACCAACTGTGCCCTCAGTACATAGTCATTCATCTTACTGAACCAAATATAGATTAATGAACATTTGGGTGACTTACAGGGTGGAAGAATTTCTGCAATGCCTTCATTGTTGTAGGCAGCCTCAAAAAAAAAAATTGCAAAACAACTTGGGCATTCCAGATACTCTTTTTCTTGGTATTAAAAAATGGCTGGCTGTCTTATTCTTAGAAACTCCAGTACAGTTATCACCTATCATTTGTTCTGTTTTTCTCCTTTTTATAGAGTGGCCAAAACAACACTTCTCTATTCCTTTCACATATTAGATCATTTTACTTAAGTCCAACACAAGGGAGAAACATCCTCTTTAAGAAAAATTCAGTTAACTTCCCACATATAAGGAACCATTACTCTTTTACTTGAGATTTGATACACTTTCAATTACCACTCTTATTTTGTCTGGAAATATCCAAAGAATGCATTTCCTTCAAAAGAAGTCACAGCTGTATAAATAGCAAAAAGTAACTTTTTATCCCATAGCTTCTTTAAGCCAAATTGGGCCTGAAGGACAAAAGTAGAAAAGGACAAACTTGCATTTTGGGACACATGTGGAAGAGCACTTTTCCTAGGCTGCTGTCAGGAGTTGGACATCTCAGCATCATAAGTGGGTTACTTGGCACTGTGTTTTAAAGTATTCTATTGCTTTCATGTGGATGATTATTACAATTTGGAAACATTTGTAATGACGTTTCAACTTCATTCTTTTAGTAATTTTTTTTTTTTTTTTTTTTAGTACTGGGCTGAACCTATTGGTTATCTATCACTGAGCTAATCTTACTTTGCCCTCTTTATTTTATTTATTTACTTATTTAATTTTGGCACAGGGACTTCCTCAGTTGCTCTGGCTGGCCTTGAACTTGCTATCCTCCTGCATCAGCCTCCCAAGTCACTAGGATTATAGGTAAGTGCCCCATGCCCAGCCACGTAGTAACATGTTTTATCCTGCATTGTAACCTTTAGGTAGCAGCTGTAATGTTTCAAAGTCAAGTAAGGGGAAATGTATTAGTTGCCTTAATTATCTAGTCAGGGAGTCAATAGACTTTTCCTTAAAGAGCCAGACCAAAGATATTTAGGCTTGTGGACTGTGAGACAAATTGAGGATAGTATATAGGTACTTGTAATCATTTAAAGTGTATCCATTTAGGGACTGGGGCATACATAGCTTGGTGGCAGAGAGTGTTCTTAGTATGTTTGAGGCCCTGGGTTTGATTCCTGACTCAAAAAATAAAAATAAATAAAATAAGTAATATATAGTAGAATTATAAACTTATTCTTGTCTTGAGGGTTATACAAAACAGATGATGGACTGGATTTAACCAGCAAGTCCTATGGACACCAACCCTATTTTCTTTTCTCTTTTATAGCCCCATGGCTGGAAGTTACGGAGTGATGGGTGATGATGGTTCTATTGATTACACTGTTCATGAAGCCTGGAATGAAGCCACCAATGTTTACTTGATAGTGATCCTTGTTAGCTTTGGTCTTTTCATGTATGCCAAGAGGTAAATCTGTTAGCATCTCAAAACAAATAAGAAACTGGACATTTGAAGATTTTGCAGGATTTTTGTTTTAAAAATTTGAATTGAATACATAAAAATAATTTCATTAGAATTTGTATTCCTCCTCTGACATATGCTATTGATTCTCTGGTCTCAAGCACAGGTGACTGAGGTATTGCTTTGAAAACCCCATTGCTTTAAGAGGTGAAGATTTAAGTACAGCTCTTGACATCCAAGCCAGCTACTCTAAACTTTCATTTCTGTCACTTCTGTTGCCTAATTTTCATCATGAGCCTGGGTTCTTTGTCACTCTTTAATGAGCACATTTTTTGGCCCAAGTCCCTGAAATATAGAAACTGCTATGTATTCAGTAGATCTCTCTTTGCCCAGTTAAAGCTTTTCCTTGTTTCTTGTGCATGACACTCTCATGGTATTTTAAACAATATTTGTCTTGTCTGGTTACTGATCTCTTCATTTCACAAAAACTTCAGTCCCTCAGAACAAGGTACTTGTTTTTTTACCTTTGGATCTTTTATCTTTATGTGTCACATAGTGTAAATCCTCAATAAATATTTCCTGCCTTAATTCCAGATGTCATAGCCTAATATAGCTGTCTTCTTTTATACTCCTTGGTACTTTTTCCCTTAGAAAAGTAAAAATAAATAAACAAGGAGGAGGTTGGATTTAAGGAGGAAAAGCTGGGCTGTAGATATAGTTCAGTGGTAGAGTGCTTGCCTGTTGTGCATAGGCCTTGTTCTCAATCTTCTGCACCTAAAAACAAAAACAAAAAAGGAAAAGCAGTATTAGTTCTGAGTAGTATCTCCTTATACCCACATGCTTCTGGTGTCCTCTACCAAGATAAAAAACAGAAGCCATTAAATAGTTCAAAATAATTAGTATTCCAGAGATTATTTATTTTTGGCCTGGGGATGGTTCAGAGCCCACACTTGCTCTCAGATACATATGCTTATCCTTCCTGGCCATGTGGCTCTCCTGGAGCAGCTAGACTGTTGGCTGCTGGGACTGCAGGTGGTGGGTGGGAGAAGGCTCCACATGTCACCACTGATCTACTTGTAGGTAATAGTTTCCTCTAAAAAGAGCCATCACCTCCTCCCCACTTTTCTTTTAAAATCAGAGGCATACTGTTCCTGTTTTTAAAAAGTTGTCCTCAATAAGGCCATGTTATTATATTTAAGAAATATTTCAATTCATAATTTCACAACTTAAGTTCTGCTCACATTCAGTGTATTCTCCAATCCAGTAGTTCGACTTCATTTGGATGACATGAGAGGGAGAAAAATAAGGTGTTTTTTTGTTGGTAGATTTTTTTTCACATAATATCTGGCTTTTTTAGGAATTAAGAATCACAATGGAGGCAATTCACTTGGTATAGTAAATGAATGTTTTTAGCATTTCTTTTCTCTTATAGCCACATAGCTGTACATGTACAGCTACAAGCTTTTTAATGAAAGAAAGAGTACATGAGCCAAAGAATCATATCCTAAAGACAAATTAGAATAACATGGACTTATCCTTTAAGTCTTTTAATGCGGCATCTAATTACCAGGATCATGAGAATATTACAATCCTATAGACACTCGTACAAATCTCTTTTCTGCGCTGTTTTTGTATTTTAGGAATAAAAGGAAAATTATGAGGATATTCAGCGTGCCACCTACTGAAGAAACGTCAGAGCCCAACTTTTATGACACAATGAGCAAAATTCGCTTAAGACAACAGCTGGAAATGTATTCCATTTGTAAGTAGTTCTGTGTTGAACTGTATCCACATGCATATTTAAAATTTCTGGAATTGAGTCCAAGGTTATGAACAATAGTTAGTATTAAAAACTTTGCACTTTTTTTCAGATGTTTAACATAGTTTCAGAAAAGGGACATTTTCTATGACGCTACTAGACCTTTTGCTTGCACAGAGCACTTTCCAAGACCCTGAGGATTGTCTTAGCGATGTGTTCCTATGATCATATTTTTATAAATTTTGGGGAAAAAATTAAGATTCTAGCCATCATTTGAGCCTACTCTCTCTTCTTCTAACTTTTTTTCCTTGGACTTCCTTTCATATGGAGTGGCATTGAAGTGACCAAGAATATTTTGGGGATCTGGCTAAAAGGAATTTGAGTTGGAGATATATTAAGTTTGGTTTGAAGTATGTATTTATAGAGTTTGTAGTCACTTATATTATAATTGCTGCAAGTCAAAGTATTAAAGAGATGGCTTCTAGGAGGATGACGAGACATCAGAGTGTTAGGTCAGGGGGTCATATCTCAAAGTTAATATGTCCTATAGTACTGAGCACTGCAAATATGTAAGCAGCAGAGAATAACAAAGTTTAAAATGTATGGGTCCTTGAGCTGGGCATGGTGGTGCATGTCCATAATCCCAGCTACTAAGGAGGCTGGGGTAGGAGGATCACAAGTTTGAGGTCAGCCTAGGCAACTTAGTGGGACTCTATCTCAAAAAAGAAAAAAGAAAAAAATGTATTGGTCCAGAGTGAATTGTCCATGTAAACCATAACCTTTTATGCCTCCATTTAAAAGAATAAGGTATGATTTGCATGGTTAGTGAGAAAAGCAAGAAGTGTATGTTGCTATAGTTATAAAATCAAATGATCAGAACATCCTTCTTTTTAAAATGTCCATGTGATATAAATGCTCTGTATAATTATATAAGCATCAAGGGAGACATGGAAAGATGTACAACAGGTAATTGACATTTATTGCCTTGATGAGAGCTGTGTAGGGGTTAAGGAAAAAGGACTGGACAATTTTAAAGAGAAATCTCCACAGTAAAAACTGAAATGTGTTATCAGTACAAAATAAGAAACAAAACTTAATTTAACAGAGCAATATTATTCATAATAGTCAAAAGGTGGAAACAACTCAGATGTCCTTATCAGATGAGTAGAAAAGAAGAATATGCTACATATACACAATAGAATGTTGTTATGCTTTTAAAAGGAAGGCAGTTCTGACCCATGCTACAATATGGATGAAGCTTGAAGATGTTATGCTAAGTAAAATAAGCCAGTCACAAAAAGGACAGACACTATTCTTACTTACATGAGGCAAATCAAAAAGAAAAAAAAAAAGTAGAAAGGTGGTTGCCAGGGTGTGTAGAGAGCTATTTTTTAATGGGTGCAGAACTCAGTTTAGAATGATGAAGAGTTCTATGGATGGATGGTGGTGATGTTTGCACAACAGCATGAATGTTAATGCCACTGAATTGTGCATCTAAAAATGTTTAAAATAGCAAATTTTATATTATATATATATTTTAAAGAAATCCTTTTAAAAATATTTTTTTTAAAATATAGAAAGTCAGAAGCTCTATGTAGAAAATTATAAGTAAAGAATTAAGTTTTCACTGATACTCAAAACAAGTTCTCTTGCGAGTAGTATACTGTAACATAGCAGGTACAATTATAAACTCACTGTACCATTTTTTTCTTTTTTGATGGGAATGACATAAAATTTATGAGAATTCCTATTTGCAGAATATAGTAGTTTTCTTTTGCTGCTGTAGCAAGTTACCACAAAATTAGTGATTTAAAATGATATAAATGCATTATCTATCAGTTTTGTAGGTTACAAGTCATACAACAGTATGCTGGGCTGAAAGGAAAGTGTAGGCAGTTTTCCTACATTTTCCTGGAGGATCTAAGGGAAAATCTGTTGCCTAGCCCTTTCTAGCTCCTAAAGACTGCCTAAATTCCTTGGTTGATGGCCCCATTCCTTCGTTTTAAAAGCCAGACACATTGCATCTCTCTGACTGTTTTTCCACACTTATATTTCCCTCTGTCTATGAATTTATCCAGGAAAGGTTCTCTGATTCTAGGGGCCCATGTGATTATACTGGGCCCAATAATCCAGGTTAATCTCCCCATCACCTCAATTACATCTTCAAAGTCTCTTTTGTACCATAGTCACAGATTATGGGGATTAGAATGTGGATATTTTGGGGTGGCATTATTCAAGAATATATATGGTGTGGATTTGCATATTTAAGATTCCCAACATAATGGATCATTCTTATATTGATAACTTATGTTATCAGTCTTAGGCTTCTAAGTTAATGTATTCAAATTTTTTATGGTGCAGACAAGAGCATTATTATTAACTTAAGGTGGGAATAAAGGATAAGAAAGGAAATTGCAAATCATTAATAGCTTAATAAATATTTACCCTATATTTTAAAGTTCTGAGTAATCCTGATACGTAATAATAATAAACGTAAAAGTGGATTGAGCAATTTTGAGAATTCAGAAGATCAGAATGTGTAATGTTTCCTCTAAAGAATAAAATTGCCTAATTCTTAACTGTTTTTTTTAACTGAGACTCATTACAACATTTTAATAATGTTAGGTAGTAATTATTTTGCATTTTTATTAATTTTATTTTTTCTTTTTTTAATAGCAAGGAAGTATGATCACCAGCAGCCACAAAACCAAACTGACAGTGTGCAGCTCTCATTGGAATGAGACCTCAGAAAACAAGCAACAGAAGTAATTGTTATTAAATAGTACAGTAGCAACTCCTGATTCTTTCTGCTAAATCATAAATAACATTTTAAAAAATTTCTGTCTGTATATGATTTGATTTTTCCCATCTTTTTTGCATTGTTTAGCTTTTTAAAATTGCTTCTCCTAGTCATTTGGTACACATCCATAGGACTCAAAAGGCCTAAACACACAGAGCCTATAAATACCCAGAAAGATACAGTTAACCAGAGATGGGGACTTTACCTTGCAGGGAATCTTTGATTTTTTTTCAGGATATAATCAGTGAGAAATAAACGCCTATCTTTGGAAGTTAAATTTCTGGAGATTATACCACCTTCATTAGGATATTTTTCCAAAATAAAAAATCTAGTTAGTAAAATAATTTCCTTTAAGATTTTCTAATTTAAGTGTAATATCAGTAATAGGCTAATTTGTGTTCTCATTACTGTTAATGACTCTAATTAGAGATCTTTGCTTCTTCAGAACTTGTACACCTAGACCATCTTTTCTATCATGATGCATACCCATCCACTAATTTTAGAAGTTTGTCATAACTGAATTTTACCCCTTAATTGTGTTCCAGGAGTTTTTGTTTGTTTTGTTGTTTTGGTTTGGAACATCATGGGCTTTCTTTAGGCCCTACAGGGGTCGTCTGTTGGAAAAAATGGATACCTCTACGTGGGTATTGGAAACTTCCTTTTTAGTCATATCATTATCACTTGTAGTGTTACTCTCTGTTTTTTTGCTTTTTTAGCATAATAAGCTTTTCTGAAGATCCTCCTCTCTTGTTCTATTTTATACTATAGAATGAAATGTTTTTACCTAATTTTTCATATTTATTTAAATACAACTTGTTGGAAATAGTGGTAGGGAAGTTCAACTGTTCAATTCTTAAAGAATCAGTTTTGAATTAAAGCTATTCTTAATTTTAAGAGCTAATAGTAACTTCAAATTTTATTTCCTTTTTATTGTGAAATTAAAGAATATAAGTTTAATATGAAAATTAAAGTTTAGACAAAATAAAACCAGGGTTATTGCATTTACTTTTAAAATTTGATTACATCATTCAAAAATGTATATATTGTACATAGTGCATTTTTGACTAAATGGAATAATTCTTTCTTAATTCACAAAAGAATCTGGATGTACCCCTTATATTGAGAATTAAAAGGTAACTCAAGGATTATAAATGGTTTTAAATATGGGCTGGCGTAGCAGACAGGCAAAGGGACAATCTTAATTTTTGTTTTGCCTTAGGATTACCCCTGTTTGTTTTCATGAGCAGAGAATTTAGTCTGGGGAACAATCTAGGCAGATTACAGAATTAAGAATTTAATTGGGGCACAATCTGAGCAAATCATAAAAACTGGCTATCTCAGATGGTTTATAAATTAATGTATATAAATAAATATAAATGTAAATTACACAATGAAATCAGTTGTTTTATTTGTGTCCAGTAGATACAGTCAAAAACTGGTAGATTGTTGAGCATCAAACCTTGGCAAGTGACAGAGGATGAAATTCCTCCTCATTTTTTCCTTATAGCTAAGTGATGGGAATTGCACACACCCCACTGGCAGAAACAACAGCAAGTTGAGCTTTGAAGTTTCTTCCCTGCTTCAACAGCTGGGCTGGGAAAGGGTGGAAGCCCTGCAGCCACACTTCAAAGTAACACCAGCTGATTGCCCGCTTCTGCCCTGCATCTACGGAGGATCCCATGGAACTATTTTTTTTGGAAGAAAAATGGGTTGACTAACAAACTAGTAATGAACATTTATGCTCTCCTTTTTCTTGTTTCTTCTTCTTTTTCTAATACATTGGATATTTAGCAGTAAGCATTGGTCAGGCTCTATTGGTGCACAGCTTGAGTGTGTTAAATAACTGGATGTTTAGTTGATGCCAGCCAGCTGCACTAAGGGAAGAAATTAGCTTCCAAAGGGCACAGATGTTTGCTATTGGCCTCACACTGTGTTGTTAGGTTGAGTTATTTATATGATTCACCAGAAAATCAAATGCAGGATTTATGGTAAAATTGTAATGTCCAAAATATTTTTTAAGTATTCAATAGAAATGAGATAAAGTAGTAGTAATAAAAATGAGTTTCAGATATTAAAATGACATAAGAATAAATTTAACCTGGAAAATATAATTAAGGAGTGGAAGAGACAAAAGAATATTGTATGGAACCAACTAATTCATTCAACCAGTAGTTAAAGGGTTTATAGACAGGGTGTTGGTAATATACTATTCCTATTGTATATTCTATTTCAATAGCAGAAGTAGAATGCAAATATATGCCAGAAATCTATATGGAAAGAAGGTGGGCATTTGGCTTACCTCCATCCTATATGCAAAATAGGATCATAAAATAGGGACTTATGCTTAGTTTTCATTTATTTTCCACTTAACTCCCTAATAAAGCCGGAGTCAAACTTAGACAAAACTGTAAAGCAGGAAACATTTCCCAGCCCTTCCCATTTGTCCCTTTTCATCCTTGTATAAACCTATGTGGGAAAGATAGATCTTGTACGAGAATTTAGGAGTGGTGAAGGAATTAAGCTGAGAACTAAGATTGTGTAGAACTCTACAGACTCCTGTAGCAGATGTGGAAACTTTCCTTGATTTCCTAACCCCAATGAAAAGAGTGGTGTTTAGCATTGGATTCTGTTATAACACTTACCCTACATTTACTTCAATAATAGTAATAGTTTTTGAAAAACTATGTATGTAATGATGGTGGAATGTGATGATCATTATTATCCAAAGTACATGTATGAAAACACAAATTGGTATGAATATACTATGTATACAACCAGAGATAGGAAAAATTGTGCTGTATGTGTAGTAAGAACTGTATGCATTCTTCTATCATATATAAATTAAAAAAAAACTATGTAGGTTAGAAATATTCCACCTTCTATGCTTCTATGTAGGAAGATGAGATAAGAGAGGCCACACACTGGCTAGGCTTATAGGTCCAGCCCCAATTTTTATATTGAAAGAGCACTTTATTGTTCACCTTTTAGGTTTGAGATACATATGTATATACAAACATATTTACTTATGTCTTTGCACTGGAGATTTGGTGCTGGAGATTGATTGCTGGGTCTTGTGCATACTAACTAGGAGCTCTATCACTGAGCCACATCCTCAGTCCTATGAAAATACATTTTGACAAATTTCAGACTAGCTGAAGAAAGTTGGGGATTTTAAACTGCAACTAGTTTAATGTTGTTAAACTTTACTTTCAGAATAAGAAATCTGAATTTCTTGAAAAAATACTCTATATAAACGTATTTATGAGAGAACAAGTAAGTGGATGTTTTGTTATTTTTGTTGTTTTTTGGCTGGAAAGAGGGGTTACATATATCTCTTAGTAACACTTTTATTTTGAGGTTTAGAAATCAGGGCTAGGGGATGCAGCTCAGTGGAAGAGCACTTTCCTGGCATGAACAAGGCCGTTGTTTCAATTCCCAGTGCTACAAAAATAAATTAGTTAAAATCCCCCCCCCAAAAAAAAATCAGGCCCATTCATAGGTGACTACAATTTAATATAATTCTTATATCTGAAAGGATTTCTACCACCTGATGTTAACATGTTATCTAGCCCAAAATAAATGCTTAGTAAATACTTGTTGAAGTAACTAGTTAATTTACTTGAAAGAATTTGTAGAATTTATATTTGTGTGTGTGTGTTTTTAAGAAATGTTTGTAGGTTGCTGTTTCAATGGCAGAGTAATTTTGTCAGGCTAACTCCTATAGAGTTCAGAACAAAATGTTTTAAAAACAACTCTTTGAAGGTAACAATAGGCAGATAAACTAGAAGGAAGTTGACCCTTGAAAGAAGGGGACTGGATTTGTCTGTACCTGTCCTGAAGACATTTCCAGTGCACAGTTCAGGAGTATGCTAGAACTGAAGGAGGAAGCTACCGTCCTCCTGTTTTGAGGAATATGAGGACAAAGTTCAAGGCTTCTAAAGAGACTACAAAGTGAGGTGGACATCACAAAAAAAGTGAACCATAGAAAGAGAACTTCCAGGGCCACGTGTTGGTGTCATACACCTGTAATCCCAGTAGCTCAGGAGGCTGAGAAAGGAGGATTGCAAGTTTGAGGACAGCCTCAGCAACTAAGTAAGGTCCTAAGCAACTTATCACGACTCTGTCTCAAAAAATAAAAAGGGGTTGGGGATGTGGCTCCGTGGTTAAGCACCCTGAGTTCATTCTCTAGTACCAAAAAGAAAAAGAAAGAAAGAGGACTTTGGCTAGTCTCAGAATGATATATCTAGTGTTGCCAAGTCCTTGGCTAGTCCCTGAGTGATACATCTAGCAGGGAGACTCAGGAGTCTGGCAGAAAGCAAATAGCTAAATGACTGAAAGAACTGAGCAGTTTCCAGCCACTGCCCATCATAGGAATTACAGTTTGATTCCTGCCAAATGAGTTCCCAGCTAGAACAAAAAAATACACTTTCCAGGGGAAGGAAATAAACCTAGCGACACCATATTGTTTACGATGTCCACAATAAGAAATTATAAGAATGGGAAGAACAAGAAAACAAGACCCAGAGTTTAAAAAAAATAAATTAGAAAAAATGGTCAATATAAACTGACTTTTCAAAATGACATTGAAGTCGTAGACATAGACTTTGCAGCTATTACAAATATGTTTAGTTAGATTAAATACTTTCAGATAAATTACAATTGAAATGATTTTTCAGCAGCAGATCTGCTACACAGAACTGCAAAAGGAATCTGTTTGGTCTAAAGAAAAATGACAGCAGATGGAAACACAATCTAAGCAAACTATAGGCATATGGGACCATATGGGACAAGACTGATGGAATATAAGAGAGTCTTTTTTTTTTAACTAAATAGGGATAAAAATCATATAGAAGTTTCTTACACTACTATAACTTTTCTATAAGCTTGAAATAATTTTTTTAAAGTCATAGAAATAAATAATTTATAAATAAATTTCTTAGTAAATCAGGTTTTATTTTTCATATTATACCAATCATCACCAAAACTGAAAACTGCCAAGGTATCTATATTAGTATATTTTCTGTTGCTATAACAAACTACCTACGGCTTGAAACTTTATAAAGAAAATAAGGGTATATTTAGCTTATAGTTTCAGAGGCTGAAAGTCAAAGATAGGGCCATCCTATCAATTTAGCCAGTGGTAAGGATTCCTTGGGTATATCATGTCATGCAAAGAAAAGAAAAGAGTAGGATTTTGCTTGGTGTGTGTATGTGTGTGAGAGAGAGAGAGACTGGGGTTTGATCCCAGGGCCGTGAGCATGATAGGTAAACACCCTACCACTGAACTATATCCCCAGCCTTGAAAAGACTAATTCTGTAGGCCATAGTCAAGTCTATTGTCTCACCTCTGCAAGACGGGAATATAGATGGGTGTTTAAAACAAAAACAAACCAAAAGAACACCATAACTGATCAACTTCTCTTTGTCTGGTGTTCAGGTTTTCCTTACTCATCTGTGTACCTTGAATACAGTAGGTGTTCAACAAGTAATTAAATCAGATTGAATCTACTGTTATTTATGTTATCCCAGAAAGCAGTCAGGCCTATGAAATACCCTCATTCTCAGTTTAAAAAAAATTTTTTTCAACCAAAAAAGAACAGCAGTGATTTTACCATTCTTGTGGCTCTCTGCTAACCATCCAGTATACTTTGAAAATGGTTAAAGCCCAATAATATATTATTTTCCAAAAAGCAAAAGAGGGAGGATGGGGTTATCCCAAAAAATATTCCAGAACACAATGTACCATGCATTCTTAAGGAGTTATAAATTTGTAAAAATGTGTAATTGGGCTGGAAGTGGTAAACGGTTTACCTAGCATATGTGAGCCCTGGGTTCAATACCCAGCACATGGGTGATCTCTCACTCTTACACACACACACACACACACACACACACACACATTTTTTAAATGTTCTTTAAAAACAATGTTACAGAAAAATATAAAAGCAAACAGAGTGAGTTATAACATTTGCCTTTCCAAATTAGTTTATACTACTATTTTAATTGATTTTCAAGATCTAAGGTCTTAAAACCAATGATAATGGCCAGCAAACTCAAAGTTATTTGAATTTCAAAAAGAAGGAACTAGAAGAGATGGCAGGGGCCTGATGTGGTGGTGAATGCCTGTAATCCTAGCAACTCCAGAGGCTGAGGCAAGAGAATTTTTTGTCTTTAAGGCCAGCCCCAGTGAGGCCCTATCTCAAAAAATAAAAAGCACCAGGAAGGCCTGGGAAGTAGCTCAGTGGTAGAGTGTCCTTGAGATCAATCCCCAGGACCAAATAAATAAATAATTTTAAAAAGATTTTATAACAAGATTGCAGGTACTATACATACTTGTTAACCGGTATTTGGGCAATCTTGAGTGGACCAATCACAATTTTTATTTTATTTTATTTTTTTTGGTGGAGGGGTAGGGTACCAGGGATTGAATCCAGGGTCACTTAACCACTGAGCCACATCCCCAGTCCTTTTTTTTTTATTATTTTCAGACAGGGTCTCACAAAGTTGCTGAGACTGGCTTTGAATTTGCAAAAGAGCCAATCACATTTTAAGAGTAGTCATGGTCAGCTAGGGTGTGGTAGCACAGGCCAGTGACTCATGAGGCTAAGGCAGGAGGATCTAAAGTTCAAGGCCAGCCTGAGCAATTTAGCAAGACCTTGTCGAACAATTGAAAAAAGAAAAAGGAGCTGGATGTGGTGGCATGTACCTGTAATCCTAGTGACTCAGGAGGCTGAGGAAGGAGGATTGCAAGTTCAAGGCCAGCCTCAGCAACTAACAAATCCTTAAGCAACTTGGTGAGAACCTATCTCAAAATAAAATAATAATAATAATAAAAAGGGTTGGGGATGTGGTTAAGTGCCCCAGGGTTCAATCCTGGTACCAAAAAAGTAAAAAAAGAAAAAAAGGAACTGTGAATATAGCTCAGGGATAAAGCACCCCTGGGTTCTATACCCTGTACCACAAAAATTAATGAGTGGTAGTAGTAGTCATGATGTAGGGTATTGTTTTTTTCAAATTAATGTTCTCCACTGTTATATTCAGATTCAGAAATGACCATATCACTCTAAGTATTGTGACATCTCATTTTGAATTTATTTCCACATTTATAAATTTTCACATTTGTAGTTCTTAGGTGAAGACCAATATGCTATTGTCTAGTACCACAGTAAAACATCCATCCATCAAACTTTGTATATTGGAAGCTAACTACAACTGAGCAAATATGTCAACTGTCCAAAATACTGGAAATTCACTAGCCTTGCTAATTGCAGAAAAACTTTATGCAGCCTTTTTGGGCTGTCAAGACTTTTAGTAGCAAATCTCTTTGAAAAAGGAGTCTCTTTTCTTTCCTGAGACTTTTGATCATCAGACTTTGCTCTCTCTTTTCATCTTAAAGACCTGTGATGTTTTCCACAGAGGTCTGGAGATTGGGTTTTAGAAATGCTAGTTCCAAGAACAGATTTTCATTTATCTACAAATTATAAATAAATAAGAGTGGTTGGAAACTAAATTACTTGAAATTTGCATTTAATTACAGGCCAGCTTCACTTAAGGTTCTGGATGTTTTGGATCACTTCTTAGATGCCTTATTTAATGGCCCGTGGTCCCATTGCCATAGTGAAATAGAATTAATAACAAGTATTCTATGCTGACTTAATACTTGACAAACATATCATCCTTTGTTAAAAAAAATATCCTGGCAAATCTAGCAGGTTTCAAAAGGATTCTAATTTTTTAGAAACACAAGTCCTTAATTATAGCTGTAGAGAAATTTGAGATGAACATATTAACCAACACATGACAAATATAGATACTGTACTGTCCTACTGGCTAACAGCTTTGACTGAAGCCTGACATTTTCTTTTTCAAGCTGTTTGAGAGTAAAATTAACTTGAAATACTTCTGAATAGAAGGAAGTCATTTCATAGTCCAAATTATCTTTTTTTCCTTTTGAATTCTATTAGAACTTGTCATTACAGGCCAATCAAAAGGATCTAGTACATTTTTTTTCTAAAACTTGAAATAAAATTTGAATTTAATTTATATTAAATTGCATTTAATATAATCAAAGGGGACTTTGTCTATATGGTAGGACATATATAGAAAATACCAATATAGACTTTCTGTATATGGTAGGACAATTTTGAAAACACCAGTGTAGACAATAAACTGAACAAAAATTTAATTAAAAGGATAGAATTGGAAACCTGAATTCCAAGCTGTTTAAATTGATACCTAATCTGTTTGCATTTAACCACATCATTAACCTTACTTTGTTTATTCCTTAATAGGACTAAGATTGCCTTTACCCCAGGGATGTTCAGATTCTAAACTATATGTAATTTGAGATCCTTGGAAGACAAGTAAAGATCTGTGGTGATGTTGTTATTGTTCAGTATTCTTTTAATATATTACTGAATTATACGCTTAAGAGTTTGAAAGAACAAATTGGGTGTGGGTAGAGTCTCTAATTCCCCCCCCCCCACTAGATTATTTGTTCTTTCACTTTCTCTGCAGTCCCAGGAAAAGTCACTAGTAAGGAAGACTTTTAAAGTACATAAACCAAATCATCTAAACAAAATTGCCATCTATG